CAAAGGGTATACCCTGCAAGCCTGCTCACCGTCTCCCGGTCTAAAGTCCCCAGCAGCTCCATCTCTCCATGTCATCCTTTCTGCTTCCATCTCTGGCATCACTGCTTCTCTGGGTAGGGTCCCGCTTTCCACTCTTCTCCCTTGATGGTCCTCGGGACCTCCACTCCTAGACTGCAAAGTCAGTCACTCCCCTCCTTTTGCTACAAAACATCTACCTTTAGATTTCCAACCCTCACAGTCAGTCCTGGTAACAATTATTCACTATTGTATCACAAGAGACCTATCCGCATCTCCTTTCATCAGCCTCCCCCAGACAGATTAGATACTACTCAGTGGAGATTTTATCTTCCTCCATGCCTAGGATCGGACATTGTTTCATTCTGCTGTGCATGGGGTCGCTATGAGTCGGTTCCGACTCGATGGCACCTGACAACAACAACAACATGCCCTCTGGATCTAGGCTCCCTGTTGATAGCTTGTAAGCCAGTCACTTCTTGCCTTTGAGAATACAGGTAGTTTTGAATCATTTGAAATGCTCCATGACACAGATATGAAAGGATTGTTCTAAGAGGACAAGAAGATGATGGATACTTATAATCTAGAACTGCTTAGAATGATTTCTGGTAGCACATAGCAAGCACACAGTAAATATTCACTATACTATATGACAGACTTGTAACACAGACAAGCATGGAGTAAAGGGTTAATGAAAGCTTCTTGGAAGAAATTACCTCTAAACATAATAAGACAGAATGAAGAGTGATTTGAGAGATAAAGAAGGGGAAAGGGCCTCCCAGGATGAGGGGGATAGCAGTGAAAAGACTGAACATTCTATAAAACAACTACTGTGCCCAAGGCACTGTAATAGGGGCTGCATTGAATCAATTAGACTTGAAACATACCCTTATGTAATATAACAACCACAAACTATTTTTCTGAGTACTTTTAAATTCCACACCCTCAATGCATTAATGCAGTTAATCTTTAATTCTATAAACTAAGTAGAATACTTATACCTCTTTATAGAGTAAACTGAGACACAAGGCAGTTAAATCTTGTTTACTGTTGTCTTATTGATGCCAAGTAAAGTGTCCAAGAACAAATTGTTAAATAAGTATTTGTTGAATGAATGACTGATTAATGGACAGAAAATCATGCTAAATCATGGCTTTGCTAGTAGTAGGGTTGTATGTTTATAATTAGCTTTGGTTGGCCATTTTGTGAGATGAGGTAAGAGGATGATTCTTAAGCGTTCTGTTGAATGAGAATCTCCAGCGTTTCTTGCTGAAAGTTCTAGTCTGAGTAAAGTCCACAAATCTATCCTTTTAGATTCCTTATCAAATTATGAGAAAAATAATCACTGCTGTGCAATATGAACGCTGGTTCACAAGATCTCTGTAAAGTGTTTAAGAACAAAGATATCAGTTTGAGGAAAAAGTTACTGCTGACACAAGTCGTGCTATTTTCAATAGCTTCATATGCAGGTGATAGTTGGACAATGGATAAGGATGACTGCAGAAGAATTGATTCATTTGAGTAATGGTGTTGGAGAAGAATTTAAAAGTACCATGGACTGCTAGAACAAACAATCTGTTTAGGAGGAAGTACAGCCAGAATGCTCCTTAGAAGCCAGAATGGACAGGCTTTGTCTCTCATATTTCAGACATAATATCAAAAGGGACTAGTTCCTGGAGATGGACATAATGTTAGGTCAAGTTGAAGGTAGCAAAAAAGAGGAAGATCTTCAAAAAATGGATTGGCTTAGTGGCAGAACTGTGAGGACAGCCTAGGACCAGGTGATGCTTTGTTCTATTATGCTTAAGTTTGCTATGAGTCGGAACTGAATTAATGGCATCTTTAACAACAACAACATAGTATATACAGGAGTCCTGGCATGATGTTGTAGGTTAAGCACTGGACTGCTAACCTCAAGGCTGCTGGTTCAAACCCACAAGTTTTTCCTTGGAAATCCTATATAGCATAGCTACGAACCAACAACACTTAATCAAGAACAAGAATAACAACAGTAGTAAATACAGGAGATTTTTGTGTCTCTGTTGGTTAAATACTGAACTGTGAACCACAAGGCTGGTACATTCAAACCCACCAGAAGATCAGTGGGATAAATAGATGAGGTTTTCTGCTTCCGCAAAGATGCCTAGGAAACCCTAAACAATGTTCTTATGAATAAGAAACATCTCCTGGACATTTAACAAAAATAACAACACGGTATATACTGGAATCCTGGTGTGACACTGTAGGACAAACACTGGACCCCTAACTGCAAGGTCGTCAGTTCAAAAACCCACCCAGCCACTCCTCAGAAACCTTACAGAGGGTCTCTATGAATCAAAATTGACAGCACAGCACTGAACAACAACAATATTAGTATATACAGTACTAATGGATGAGGATTGTGACTCATTCTGTCAAAAGAAGAAAATGATTAAATCAATGCCTATACAAGGTATTTATCAGCTGCAAAGGAGACAACTCCTTTTCTTTTCATCTCTATCTCAGGGCTTCTCAAACTTGACACTATGAACAAATTGAGGATTGTAATTCTGGTTGTGGGAGGACTTATCTGTGCATTTAAAAATGTATAGCAATGCCTATGGCTTCTATCCATTAGATGCCTGTAGCTCAAACCCTTCATTTTGACCACTACAAATGTCTTCTCACACTGCCAAATGTCCACCTGAGGGCAAATAGCTTCCAGTTGAAAATCTCTATCTTAATGCTTTCTCTAATTGCTCATATACAGCACCCTCTGATCTTCTAACCTAGGCTTGTGCAAGAAGCCTAGGTTAGAAGTCTGATCTATTGCTCCTTGAATACTGTGAAACATGTCAGTTTGTAAAATGAATACAGGGTATCTTCTTGGCTTTATTCTGAACCCACAATATGTGTCATTTACCCTCACCATCTCCAAGTTCATTTATTAATCAAATTAGACAGACTGACAGGGTCAAGACATGGCTGGTATCCAAAACCATAATTTTTTCCTTCAGGTTCTGGAGGAATCATTTTTACACAATTTGCAAAGCATTATAATTAATGATAACTACAGTATAGGGTTAGTTTCCCAGAAAAATTATAAAGCAGAAACAGAAATAGATAAAACTACTCAAAAGAATGGAATGAAATAATTTGGAAAATAATTTGGCACAGACTCTGGAAAAATACAAGAAAATATCCCTTACTCCAATCCTTTCTCTTTCACAAGAATGAAGATGCAATTTGTAACTACCAGTTTATCCTTCACCTTTCCTCTCCATTAATTTCTCTTAACTGCTCTCACCACCTTTCAATTACATATGAGAACAATAAAGTAAAACCTTCTTAAGAATTATTGATGGGAGAATGGTCAACTGGCATCATATAATGTCGGGTAGTATTATATGCCCGTTAGTATGTCCACATTCCTTACCTAGTTTTATCAAAATGCAAAGGGTAACTGGAATATTAATTGTTCTAGTTAATTAATGAATTAATTCCTTGATCACTGGCTGGTCAGGTCAGAGAATTAGTGTGTGAAATACTTAAACAGCTATACAAAACACGTTTTTAATTGAAGTAGGGGGAAAATCTGATATGTATATTGACATCAACTACATACATTTACTCCCCTTAAAAATCCATTATATTGAAATATTTTTGTTATGTAAATTACCTGGTATGGACTACCTTGTCTAACATGCTTTGTGAAAGAGAATAATTAACCTGTAGTGAGAGAAGAGAAACAAGGTCAATATGCATTTTCAGAGGAGACTAGAAGGATGGAAAATTTATCAACAGAGAGGAGCGAAGACCAGTATGTCACTATTGGTTATTTCCAGCACAAAAAGATCTGCCACCTTGTTACCCCTATTCAGTTTCCTTAAATTATTTCAGAAGATAGCATAGTAACAGTTCGCCATGCATGAACACTGTTACTTCTGGCTAACATTGTTCTCAAGGAGCCAAATACTCTCAAGATCCTAGGAGGTGAATTTCAGTTCAGCTCAGAATCTGAAAAATTTCAGGCAGTTGTGGGGTGATTCATGAGACAGTCGTAGACCCCCACCCCCAGGCGTCCTGGTGGAAAGCAGGGATTTAGCAAGTCCTTAAAACAGAAGATGGCTCCACCAGAGTGAACCTGCTAGCACCACCATCGCCATTCTCCACTCTACAGCTGTTCCAGCTGCCTGGAGGCTTTCCGGTCGCCATGGCAACTGATGGGCTCTGCTGCAAACTCAAAACCGAGCCTCTGAAGTTAGATACTAAACACCGGAGCTCCACTAATGCAAAGGCAACTGGAGAGGGAGAAAGAAATAAGGATTGTCCATGGTCTACAAATCCTGCGACTAAGAAGGCGATCTTAAAATCGGATTTTGTTTGTTTTTATAAAATGCTTCACATTATTGATTAGTGTCGTCTTTGGTGTCCGGAGGGAAAACGGATTGCAAGTTCTACTGGCGAAAGAATCAGGAACAGAGATGAAACGTTTTTAAAATGAATGCATCAAGCCTGCTTACTCAGTCATTCATTCAATTTTATATTTCATATCTCCTGAGAGCTTATTTGTGTTGGGCACTGTGCCCATCTGCTAGTTCTGCAAAGGTACATGAGACACCACTCCCACTCTAAGAAATTAACAATGGTAATTAACAAAATTTAACCTAACATTCAAGTGCCAACTAAGCACTCGCTGCTGCCATGACTTTCTTTTGGAAGACGGATTAAGAATCCAAAGGCGGGAATGGAGAGAGGCATTGGCTAACGAAATAGGAGAAAAGCCCTGGAGAGAGGGAGGTGGCTTTTTTCTAAGGAGAGAATTTGTCAAAGCCACTCAAATGCTTCCCTCTGCTGCGAGGGAGAAGAGATTTGTTTTCCTTTTAGAAAGTCAGAGCCCTTTCCCCTACTGGGCGCCCGTTCTAGTAAGGGACGCTCCGCCTCTTTGGGCTACTGATTGGGTCAAATCTTTTTAAGATAATTTATGCCAGCATCTTTTCTGTCTGATTGGCTCCCCTGCTCAATTCTGCTGGGAGTCGCATCCTACCTGGTGAAGAGGTGTAGAGCTTTTCTCTGCTGTATGTACTCACCGGGCTCTTGCTGAGGTGGGAGAATCAGCCCTGGACTGGAGACTTCTATCTCCTGTAGCACCAATAGAAAGAGCAAAAGATCTAGTCCTGATGGGTTCCTGGAAAGCTTTTCTCTTCTCTCCCTTTCTTCTGTGGAGTCAAAGTAGAAGGGTGAGGTTGATGTTCTTGTTACTGACCCTGCACTTGGGAAACTGGTGAGTAAATTCACGGACCTAAACCTATTCTTTCCTATCTACTCCCATGACTTTTATTTCCCTTTAAAATTCATTTTAAGTAATTTGTACTTCAGGGGCACAGTGTGTTACTGAACGATTCCGTACCATTATTTACCCAGATTAGAGCAATTCTCTTTCATGTTAAATTAAATTAGCCTATTTCAGAACATAGTGGTTAGGTTAATTGTTTTGGATTTCAAAGTTATAAATAAGTAAAGATGGATTTAATTGGGAGTGTTATAAGGTGTAGAAATGACTTTGCTACTTAATTTAGTGAATGATCTAGGTGAACTCTTAACTTTCTGGATTATTCTGTATTTTAAAGACCATTGTTTCAGAAACTTGTTACTCAGCTTGGTATTATGGAACTGTGCTATACATGAATCCTACCCCTCCTTTATTATCATATCTTTTTGTAATTTTCTGGATAAAAAACAATATTTTACATCAAGAAAGATGATAAATGTTATTAACAATTGTCAGGGTTTAAAATGTTTAATATTTAAGTCAGACAAAATCATGCATATTTTATTGAACAAGTATTGAATAATTTCATTTTAATTGGCTGTTCCCCAGTAATAAAAAAATTCTATAGTGGTATGAATGTCATGTGTATGTGTTTTGTGTGTGCAATATGAACAATCCAAAACCTCCTATTTAAGAGGAAGAAGACTGGGATTATAGAACCTTTAAATAAATTTTGAAATCATTGTGATAGAAAGATAAAATGCTTTTAAGTACCTTACCTGGATTTTGTATAGGAATAATGGATGGAATTAAATATATCAATATAGTAAAAGACTCTACAAAGGTCTCATATGCACTACTTATATAATATAATTATTTAAAATAAATGTGCATTTAAAATTTTCTTATTGCATTATATGATTCTGCTTAGAACACAAGGGTAAAGAGCAATCACTAAGCAGATAGAAACATGCCATAAGAACTATAGCTTAATGCTTAGTAATCATTGTTTAAATGGATTGTTGTTCATGATTTGAATTTAGTATGTAGCTGTGATGAGTATTTTTTGCCCTTACCCAGCAGATAGACTTGCTGGTTTCTTTCAGAGAATTGATTAAAGCCGGCAAAGTAATAATAGACTTGCTAAAAATTCCTGACATTTGATCTTGTCTCAAATATTGCAGTTTTATTTACTCTCTTCCATTAGAATTGTGAATCTCTGCATGGGCACAAGTAATACCACTCCATTATTTTGTGTTAAAATTGTATCATAATAGTAGCTTATTTATTTCTTTGAATATATTGTACAATTATAGAGAAGATATTTAAATAGAAAATATACCAGCACTCATGCATCTTCATATTAATATATATGAATTCGTGTTCTCATGAGGAAAGACAGATTTATTTTCTGAAATGACAACCTGTATGCTCTTTAATTTTGAGTACAAGTTTCTCTTTCCACATAACAGCCAAATTGCTTAGTAGAGACCATATTTTCTGTTCAAAGAGATGGTTTGTTTTACAGGAATATCTTAATCCTTGTTAGGATATGCACATTATGGTCATTGTAATTGGATGCAGAACTCCTTCATGGTTCTCAGAGATAAGAAGCTGTGTGGGATAGTGAGCAGAGAGTGGGTTTGGGAATCTGGAGACATGATGGCATGCATCTGGGTCCTTAAGCTCTCTGTTTAATAGAGTTTCTTCATCTGAAGGGTAGTAGCAAATCATTTATGTTTTTGTCAGGTTTTCACAGTCATTCTGTCGAATGAAAAATAATTCAATGGTTATTTCACTGGCCATGCTTAGTAGTGTAAAAGAAAGATATGCAAATGGAGATGGCATGTACTTTCATATGATATATATGTGTGAGTAAATGAGAGAGGTGTCACTCAATTAAAATTGACACATAATTCTGTTTATCATATTAATATTTATAATCTTCATTATTCTGGTCTGCAAATAAATAATATCAAAATAAGTTTACATGTTTCTTCTATAATTATTGTGGCCTCAATTATGAGACTTCATGTTTTCACATTTTTAAAAGTGTACAGTTATGGTGAATCTTTCATCTTTTTATTATTCTATAAACAATATTTAGTTGGAGATATCTGGTGCAAAAAGGGACAAGCAATGCACATTCATCTTCCTCACTCCTCTCTTTTTGAGGAACCTTTTCAAAAGTTACCACAGATGGATATGTTTGTAAGAATTCAGTTGTGTTACTCTTACACTAGTTCCTAAAATATATCTGGCAAAGCAATCTATTTTGGGATTTCCTTAAATTTGATCAGAAGCAATGCCTTGCTCCTCATTAGTTTCCACAAAGATCACAGAGGAGAGGCATTGCATTGATTTTTATATTTCTGAACTTTGAAAACCTGTCCTACTATTGGTTCTAAAACCTGTGGTTATATTCTCGTTTACACTATCCACCATACTCTTGACAAGTTAATTAAAATCTCATAAGCTGTTCACACATAATGGTTGGAGGATATAAAAACAACTCTAACTATCAACAGCTTTATAAGAAGGGGTGCAAATTGTTTTCAGATTTTAGCTGCTATAGTAAAATATCCTGTGATTAGCATTTACCGAAAAGTTACATGTTGAAAGAGTTGGTGGTAAATTAGTTGTAACAGTATCAATCAATAAGTCAAATAATTATATTTGACATTCAGCGTCTCAGATGAAGATATTGAAGTATGTGAATTAATTTTTTCAAGTAGCTAAAAATATGTTATTTTGTGAGAATTGTAATAAGTGATTTCATTTTAGCCATCTGAATTTCGCTTAAATTTCTGATAAAATACTTATGATTACTGTGCAAACGTGAGGACAAAACATGAACTAATAATATTGCATTGATCCTTAAATATTTAAAGAAAAAATAGAGATAAAATTATTTTAAATCTGGGCTACATGTATCACCATTGTTATATCTACTGTATAGGGTTATCCAAATAAACAATACCCTTTTCCTATTTTTTTTTTTTAATTTAAAAACTTCAGGACATACTTTTGGATAAACTACAAATGGGAATGTTTATTAATATAATTCAAATATTAAATAAAGTAATCTAGTAAATATATTTAAAGGTGACTAAAATTTGTCTAAACTCAAAATTCCAAATGCTTTGCCGTTTAGTCAATTCTGACTCATAGTGACTCTGTATAAGATTTCATAGACTGTGCATCTTTGCCAGAGCAGAAAGCCTCATCTTTCTCCTTTGGAGCAGCTGGTAGATTTGAACTGTGGACCTTGAGGTTAGCAGTCAAATGCTTGTCTTACAGTGCTACCAGGGCTCCTTAAAATTTGCCTAAGAATACAATAATTAGGGAGTCCTGGTGTGGCAATATGGGTTAATGCACTGGACTGCAAGGTTGGTTTGAACAGCAAGGTTGGCAGTTCAAGCTCACCAGCTGCTCCTGGGAAACACCATACAGGGTTGCTATGAGTCAGAATTGACTTGATGGCACTTCACAACAACAACATAATAATAAAGAAGGGAGTCTAATGGAGGAAAGGAAGTCAGAGCAGAAAACTGAAAAATGACTCTGAAGATACTGAGGACATGATTAACAAATATGACAAATGACTACCAGGAGGAAAGGAAGAGATGTGGATATATATCAAATATCAAATTCTGAGGAGAATAAGTCACATATAGACAGGATATTCGAGTGACAAAAATGAACTTTGCCATCAGATTTAGTTTCCAGTTGCACATCCATCATTTCCTCTTAGTCTGATCTCAGGCAAATCACTTTTCAAGTTTAAATTGGAGATTACTCATACTTGACAAGTGGAAAATGCCACCTACCCTTTAAGATTGTTTGAAGATCAAGTGAGAAAATTTGTTCCAAATACATAAGAATTAAATTTTTACTGTAAAGATATTTTGTTGTTACTGTTAGGTGCTGTCAAGTTGGTTCTGACTCCTAGTGATCCTGCATAGGGTTTCTGAGGAGTGGCTGGTGAGTTTGAACTGATGACCCTCTGATTGATTAGCATTCCAATTCTTATCCTACAGCACCATACCAGAATATGTAATAACAGATCATTTGTGGCATCACAGCGATTCTGGCATTTTTCTCCTAGTTATAGTGGTTTTAAGTACAATACAATGGACATCCATGACTCCTTGTATGTTATGAAATATATTATAGATTTGGGGGATAGCATTCATTCATTCAAAAAATCTTTATTGAAGGCATGTTGCGTATTAGACCCAGTGCAATATGTTGGCTTTATAGTATTGAGTTGTTGTTAAGTGTTATCAACTCTGTTTCAACTCATTGTGCCCTTATAGAGGCTATTCAAGGAGCAGTTGGTGGATTTGAACTGCCAACCTTGTGGTTAGCAGTCCAGTGCTTACCCTACAGTGCAACATCAGGACTCTATAGAGCAGGCATAATAAGTTTATAGTTAATGTTAAGACCTGTATTTATGGTTTTAATCAAAGAACCTGGATTTTTGACACAGTGGATTAAGCATTGTTCTGCTAACCACAAGATGAGTGGTTCAAACCCACCAGAAGTTCTTTAGGAACAAGATGAGTTATCTGCACTCATAAAGATTTACAGTTTTAGGAAACCCTATGGAGCTGTTCTATTCTGTCCTACAGGGTTGCTGTGAGTCCTATATAATCTACATAAAAACCCTACTTTCAGAATCCTAAAGATAAAAATAAATTAAAATGATTAGGATAAAGGATATAAATGAAAAGATCACAATCAAAGAAAGAAAACTACCAGACATGAGAATTCCGATTAGCAATTCCAGAAAGTTTGGGAAATGCCTCCAAATTCCAAAGAGAAATGTTCAGTATAAAAGGCTATACCTCTGCAAATTAAACATGAGGAATCACCTAGTTACTGTTATTCTCTTTGTTCTGTAGATGTGGAAACTGTGATACAGAGGTTATTAGGAACGTGTCTAAGGTCATAGAGCTAATAAGTGCCTTTATTCTTATCCACCAGAAGTCTCAGATTACAAATCCAAT